GGTCTCCTGGTGCACCAGGTGAAGTCTACTTCTCCCAGTATCCCAAGGGCCAGACCCCGAAGACAAAGGAGGTGAAAACCGCCATCTTCAGATCCTGGACGAGCCACCAGAAATGTTGTGGGATTCTCTGAGAGACGGGACACCAGGGCTATAAGCAGGAAGCAGCGTTTACTGATGCTGGCTTAAAACTACAAAAGTTTGTTTCTCTTTCATACCACATGTTTATCATGTGTTGGCAGGGATCTGAACTTACTATAGTCTCTCAGGGAACCAGGCTTATAGAGTGCTGGTACTTTATTATTATTATTATTTTTAATGCCTGCAGCACCTGGTATTCCTAGGTAGTCTCCCATTTAAATACTAATCAGGCCCGACCCTGCTTAGCTTCTGAGAGCAGACAAGATCGGACGCGTTCAGAATGTCATAGTTGTAGACTGAGTACTGGTACTTTAAATGTTGGTTTCAGTGCTGGGGGGAAGAGAATTCTGGAAGATCTTTCCTGGCAGTTAAATGCTCTGGCCTGGAGGTGACATGCATCACTTCCTTTCACTAGTCATTGGCTAAATCTAGTCACAGGGCTGTACCCAGCCACAGGGGTTTCTTGTGCTTAGAAAGAGAACTGCATATATTGGGTATAAATACTAAAGACTACCGTACAATCCTAGTTCATGTCACTATCATTGGATTTCCCAGTTAGTTGTTTACCAGATCTTCTGGTTTAGCTTCTCTGCTGTCCATTCTCTGTATCCCAGTCAGTGCTTTTTTTATTCATAAATCTGATGATGTCATCACTTAAAGAGATCACCATTGCTTTTCTGGTAAAGTCCATCTTTTCCTACCTGCTCTAGTTTCCACTCTCTTTTAGGCCCATATCTCACTGTTCTCCTTGTACTCTCTCTTAGCGATACTGACTTGTAGCTCATCTAACATGCTTTACTCTCTTTTTGCCTCTTGGCCTTTGCTCATATTCTTTCCTCTAACTGCAACATTTTTTCTTACCTACTTCCCTCTTTCTTTTGGCTAACTCCTATTTTTTTGAGTCTTAGCTTAAAAGTTATTCCCACTTTACTACTTGAATTCAGTGCTCAGCCTTTGAATTTTCACAGCACTTTCCAACTTTCTAAGTTACTGTGTGCCATTGTAATCTTGTAATTAGTTATTTGCCTCCTATCCCTCACACATAGAATCATTCAATACATGTTTGTTTAATGGCTAAATAAATTGCAGGGCAAGGTAGGGAAAATCAATAGTGTTCATTATCAGAAAATTTAGTTATTAAAGGACCTGGATGCTTTCCATTCATGGTGAGGACCCTAAAGTTTACTGTTTTTAAAAACATAGTTTTAACAGTGCTCAGAATAGCTCCTGGTTACCAAAATATTTTGTATATCTAGGTTTCACAAGTCCTTTGAAAGTTGGTTACATTACTTGTGTTTGTTTCTAATGTTAGAAAAAAACAAACTATTTTGTGGAAAAGCCATTTCAGACTGGCACTTAGGGTTTTCTAAATTGAAAATGAGATATTTTTCACATATCAAATATGTTCTATTTTGCCATAATTTTCATTAGTTTCTTAATAATCTGTTAAGTTGACGTGCCACATTTAGTTAAAGGCTATTTCCAATTTTTTGTTATTTTTAGTAAAGTTGTAGTAAACATCTTTGTATCTTGAGCTTTTTTCTTTTGAACTAATTTTTCGAAAAATTTTCAAGAGTTGCATTTCGGGCCTAAGGACATGTACTTAGGTTCTCGTGGTTAAGAACATGCTTTGACTTGCTCTTTGGTGGTAGCAAAATAATCCTAGGGTTATAAAATATATCCGTATAGCCCTTGGAATTCCAAGAAACAAAATTGCCATATTTCTTAATAGGTGTTGAGTGGTCCTATTTTTTGACTTTTTTTTTTTTTGCATTCTTTTCTACATTGGGTATCTTAGCCCTGTGAGTGTGAATGTGAGAAGTAAAATGAAAGCACAAGCTCAAGAAATGAAATTTATTGCTGTGCTAGTAAGTTTTAGTTTGAAAATAGCTTGCCCTTCTTAAACCAGGTATTTCAACAGTCCATTTTATGAAAATTTTAGGCAAGTATACTTCTGACCTTTCTGAGTATTTGGAGACTTTTTTCACACTAGTCCTACATAAAACTTAAGTCTTTAAAAATTTGTATGTTGTCTTCAATAAATTAGAAAATGCTGCTTTTTAATAAGGACTTTATAAGTGGAAGTATTTTACTTTGGATCTAGGTAAGCATTTAAATAGCATTTTTATTATCAAAACATAGGGTACTACTCTATTTTTTAGTCCATATGATTTGTTTAGGTATCACTTATTTTGACATCATTAACCTTGCTTATGTTTGCGATTTTACCTTTTGCTGTTTAATATTGAATTCTAGGAATCTTTCATCCAATTTTTGAAGTGTCATTTTAAATAAATTAGTAAATTATTCACATTTGTGTAGTTTTACTGTATATTTAATGAAATGATACGCACACACAAAGTACATATTTGTTTTTCACTTCTGTTAGAATTTTGATCGTTCAAAGTCATTCGATTTTGTAATAATAGTTGGCCTCAGAAAAAATTTTTCCTCAGTAGTTGAAGGCTGTTTTCAGAGATTTTGTTCACCTTATTTAGAGTGCTAGACCACTTCAGTTTCACGTTTTCTGATATTGTCCATCATACTCCTAAGAGGGTTAGGTTCACTTTTCAAGTCTTTCACCGTTTTGTTTTTTACACAGCAGCAGCAGTCAAGCACTTCATAAAGGAAAGCCAGTACCACTAAAGATACCACTGTAAATATAAATAAAAGCAGAATGACAAAGCAGGCAGTGTTCCAGTTATCATGGAAAGGGTAAATTTTTTGAACTTGAAAACCAAGGTACTGATAAACAGATGTAGTGGTTTCATTCCAGAGGCTGGAGCTCAAGGAGGCCATTCTTAGAGATTTCACTTCTTATTTTGCCCTTTTGAATCTGTAAAAAAGTGGAACATGAATGTATGTAACCAAAGTACAGATCTGTCAATTCAAATCTCAATTTTAACTAGATTTGTTAGTAAATTTGTATAGGCGACTTGTGTCTTTTTTCCTACCAGAATGGTATTTTTAAATTGATTTAATAAATTAATTTAAAAATAAATTTAGTATCAACTTTTTCTGTATGCCAGTGTATTCTGTAAACCATCCTATATATTTTTATGATTTAATAAATTAATTTAAAAATAAATTTAGTATCAACTTTTTCTGTATGCCAGTGTATTCTGTAAACCATCCTATATATTTTTATGTATATTATTTATTAGACAAATATATATTTTTAAGACTTATACATAGAAATTAACTGCTAGTGGAAGGAGGAAAAAGGCAGCTGAATTGGTTGAAAATTTGAGTAAAGCAGTGGTCTACAAGAAATCTTAGCATTTTAAGGCCATGTTTTTGAAACTGCCTCCAGAAAAGCTATTCTCATTACCCTGTGGATCCTTCTTACCTTCTTGGTTCAGTGTATTTATGTCTCCTATTTCCACTCCTTTAAACTTCAAGGACAGGTTACCTGAATCAGGAAATAGTGGCTGAGTGAAAATAGTAGAGAGAGAAAAATCAAAGTTGCCTATGAAGAGACCTTAATCTTTTTTTAAGGATATTTTTGTTGTGTATATGATAATCTTAAATGCTTAATATAACTAAATGACCTATAGACATGAACATTTTAAAAACAAATTTAGTGCCTCAGATATCATTTATTAAATTATTATTCCATTTCACAGTGAGTTATTAAGTCTTGCTCTTGCTGACCTGATATTTGTTAGGCCTTAAATGGGACCATGAGGATTGAAATTTTGATAGCAGTAAAAATAATAGGATGAATTTTTATTACCTTGATCTTTCAAAAATATCTATTTAAACTTATTTTTAAAAATTATAAAACATCTATATACTAAGAAAATCTGGAAATAAGAGGAAAAAGTATATCACTAATTCAAAGACTGTTGTCAGTTTGTATGCTTTCTTTTATGAAAGATGACTTATTTTGTTTACTTTTTTCCTCTACATAGTTGTAAAGACTTTCGTTTATTCTTGTAAACAGATGTTTATTGATTACTTTCTGTGTACCAATACTTTTCTAGGTGCTGGAGATAACTTGTATATGAGAGTGTCATTTAAAGAAAACTTAAAGGTGGTACAGAAGTATAAGAGTATAACAAATCCCCATATGCTCATAATACAACTTCATTTATCAGCTCTTGGCCAGTTTATAGCTCTACCCACTGCTGCCACCCCATGGATTATTTTGAAGAAAATCTCAGACATTAATTCATCTAGAAATCTCAGTATATATATACCTCTTAAAAGGTGAGGACCCTGTTTTTAAACATAACCATAATATTATTTTCACATCAAAAAAAAAATAAAAAAGATTAAAAAGTGACTTAAAAAAAACCCCAAAGCCATAACAATATAATTTCTTAGATTTCTTTGTTTTCTTTATAGATGTAATTTTAAAACTTTGGTGTTGATAAATAAATATTTTCTAAGGTTTTTATTTTCTTAAATCAGATTTGCTTGGCAAATCACTTCACCTCTCTGGATGGATTTTGTTCCTTCTTTTGTGCATTTTGAAGGTTAAATTGATGGTGAGGCCAGATATAAAAGACTTAAATTAATTTTTTCTTTTTGGATTTAAGAATTTTTCAGTTTCATGGTGCTTGGTGATCCTTCATCTTAAAATGAAGGATAACTGATGGACATTAATCAGTTGCTTCTATTCTGAGACATACAGAAATACATTGTATCACAGGTGTATAACTGCTCATTACATTACATTATTTTCAGACTACGCTTGGAGACCCAGCGTTTTCAAAGTTACCCTCTTTTATCCTTTGAATTTTTCTGTTCCAAGCGTATTACAGAAAGCAGTGCTGCTGTGTTGCACAACTCCAGGGAGCACCATTCATGTTGTGTTATGGGGTGTTATTCATGTAGAATACAATGTAAGTGATGCCCCTTGGAGTCGTGTAATGTGGAATGTTCTGACAGGTTAGCCTTCCAACCTCTGCATTGTTGCTGCCTCTGATTTTAATTACTCTGCACACAAATAGTCAAGTAACCCATACAAACTGATGCAAATGGAGACAAAAGTCTTTATGACCCAGCCTTCCTAATAATGTTGTGTGTAGGTGCACACATACACACAAATGTCTATAAAAAACTCAGCTTTGGAACTCCTTTAAGATTTTTATCACTACTAAAATGCAGATATTCTTGGGAAAGGTAACACACTGTTGCAATTATTTCTACTTCAGTGTGAATGAGTTTCAGGTCCTTTTTGAAAAGCCGCACAGACAGGGAGAAGAAGAAGAATATGACCTTGGGGAAATGGGGTACAATGCCACTTAACATGGGTAGATAAAGAACAGAAAGAATTGCTTGAGAGTCTCTAATAATTTTACCTGGGCTAACTAACCTAAGACCTCTCCAGCATGGATGAAAATATTCCTTAGATTTTCTGTTAAGGCCTTTTAGGTTGATTCCTTTATAAAATATGGGGACGTCTTTTGAAAGATTCTTTTCTAAATCTGGCATTAGAAGTGACTGTGGGGGTGGGGCAGTGATAAGGAGGGAAAAGAGAGGTTTCCCCTCTGTTTCCACATTATGCCCCTCAAATTAGTTTAATCTACCTTATTAACAATTTAAAATGTTTTACTATTAATTTCAAAAATATAGCAATTTTAACTAAAAGTTAAAAATTAAAAGCTTCACTCAGAATCTTGTCTCCTAATAAATCAGACTTTTAATTTTCCTAGAAATTGGCTATATTAATCTATAAGTCATGCTTGGTTGAAATTACACTGAAGTTATTTGTATTTTAATCATGAATAGGCCTCTATTTGTATTGACTTTAAAACTGGGGAGAAGTTGTAAAGACTAATAATGTAAGTTAATTTCAAAATGAAATCTTAAAATGATTAGAAAATTGGTTTGAAGCACTTCATATTCTATTTATTTTTGAGGTACAAGTAAACTGCTTAAAATTTTTTCAGGCTCCCTTGCCCTTAAAAAAATAGATGGATAGAAAGGCGAAAGGGAGGGGAAAAGGCGGAGGCATGCAGATAGGTACACAACTAAATTTAGTCACTTGAAGTTCACTTCTACCCATCAATGACTATTCTTCTGGTTAAAATTAATATAGAATATTGACACAATTGAATATTATGCATCAGTGAGGTAATTGTGTAGTGGTATGGAAAGATTTTTAGGATATGTTAAGTGAAAAGAGCAAGGTGCAAGACTATGTATAGTTACGGAGAAATATATATTTTTATTTGCTTGTATCTGCACAAAAATCTTGGATATACAAGAAATTAATAACAACGATTACTTGTGGGATTGGTTGGAGAGTAGAATTGGTGGACAAGGATGTGTGTGAGATTTCTCAAGATACACCTTGTAGCATTTTAGTTTTTGAACCATTTGAGTATATTACTCAAAACCCAAACTAATATATTTAGAAGTATCCCTTGTTTTTGGTTTTTAAAAGTCTATTGTGTTATATATCTATTTAATACATATATTGAGTTTTCTGGGTTGCTTCCAAAAAATTAAAATTAGGATTAGTAAACACTTATTTCGATTACACTGTGTACTTTATCTACACACAAATATGCTTATAATAATTCTCCTTGCAATGATGACAGTGGATAGCAGTGTATGCCATCTGCCAGGGCACTTGTAAGCTTTGCTAGAAGCATATAAGCAGTTTAAGAAAGAGTATATACATGTCAGGTTTATGTTGTAAATGATGACAGTTTGCCTCTTGTGAGTGTATTGATAACTGATGAGCAACTCAAAACATTCACTCTTTAGCTTCTGGGAACATTTGAAAAAAGTAAATCCTTATAATATGGAGTCATTTTCTGCTTCACATTTAATATAGTTTATTCTTTGAAAGTATGGCAGAGTTTTAGTAATTTTTTGTGTTAAATTTAGGGTAAAATCTAAAATTTACTTTGGTGGATTAGATATACTTAGACAAGCAGAAAGATATTTACCATTAGGATTTTTTTGTATTGAGACTATTTTTGAAACTAAAATTTAAATTTATATCAAGCAAATGCTGTAAACATGCCTTATGAAAAGTAAAAGAAAATGGTAAAAAAAAAAAAAAAGTAGGAACTGTCAGTATTTCTTTTAATCTCTCATAGCCCCTTTAAAATTTCATTACAGGAATGGAAAGTTTTAAAGTAAATACCATATTTTTTTAGTTGTTTTTTTTTTTAATGAAATACTCCCTTCCACTATTTTTCCTCCCATTTCAAACATTCTAGTGAAATATTTATGGGGTTAAGACTTGGAACTGTTTTGGAACTTTTAATTGCCAGATCAGAAGAAAATTATGCTTTTGCTGTATTTATGGTAAAAGCCCTTGAATTGAATTTTCTAGTGCCTTTAAGCATATCACTTTGAAATATGATCAATTAATCATAATGCCCTTTAAATATAGAACAGTTCACTCAGCCCTGGATCTCTGAGTTAGGCCATGCGTCTTAGTCAGTTCAGTGAAACAGCAATGAGCCTCCATTTGTACTAACTATAGATATATTACCAGTAAAACAAAGGCTGATTATAGTGTTAAAATAATGTGGATGGCAGAGGTTTCTGTTTACAATTTACCTGAAATTTGAATTACAAGTTAACTCTTTTATTTGACAGAATTGTTTTTATTTTAAAATTTTACCTAAGACTTTTTTTATACTTCGTATAACAAACAAGAATGTTTTCTAGGTAACTAACCCCATTGTGCCGAACCTGGGAGATCTATCTTCTTACAGCATCCTCTGGACTTTGTAAGGGATATTTTGCTCATATAGGCTGAACACTGGCTAAAAAAATTGAGTAAAAATTATGAAAAAAATTCTTTAAAATTTAAGTACATTTACCAGCAAAGAAAAGGGAAGCTGGATCTTTAGGTCAGCATGTATAGGTAATAGCCTGGAATTCTAGCATCTATTAAATAATAATTTTTATGCTCAAATATTTTAAAATTAAAAATTTGGTTAGCAGTTAGTTGATAACTAATTTTCAGTAGACATGAATGCTTACTCTGAGCCATGAAATAATCTTATTACCTGGAAAGGAACCATACTCTCCTCCATTAACCAATTCTTAGGACATTTTTATTTTAAAACATAGTTTATCAAAAAGACTTACTCTGTATTTATTTGGAGAATCAGTTTAAGAATAAGTTTAACATTATATTGAAATTATGGTGATAAATATTTTTTTGTGTCATACAAAATGAAAGTATTTAAAAAGGATTTCATTTAATCAGTATAACTTGTATATTATACTATAGATTTAAATTTTCACTGTAAGGAATTATTTTAATTAAAATGTTACTGGAAGTCTGAAGTTCTATAAGTGATGTCTTTGGTTACAGTATAATGCAGCCTACGTAAAGGTACCTTCATTGTCTTTTTATTTTTATATAAAAGTTACATTTGTAATTTCTCAGCATTCTCTGCATCTACACTCAAAATCAAATAAAAAATAATTCAAACTATTTCCTCATATTTGTTAAAATATAACAAACTTTCTTGTAAGTGACTGCTTTTTTTCTAGTTAATATAATTTGCCTATATCAGAAAGCTTTAGTCCAGGATTAGCTTTTAGTCTAGATTTTTCTTGAAGAAAAATCCTTTGTTTAAGACAGACCAAACTGCTGAAACGAAATAGCTCAGAGAAATTGAAATTAGCAAGTTAACCACTTAACATCAAACGCTTATGGTTTACTCTTAGGTCTAAATATACATCAGGTTCATAGAAAATAGCATGAATTTTCTGTTAAGGCACAGATGGTAAGGCTGCTTATCAAATAGCATAAGGCAGTCTTCATATTTTTATAATAAAATCCTACTAAGCAATGAAATGAATACATTGCTTTTTTTTGGTCTTTAGTAGCAACAAAGCTTTCTGCTTGATTTTTATAGCAAAATATTTTTATATTGCATCATAAAGACATGTATTGCTAAATGAAAAAGATGATATAAACCTACCTCTTGTCTGAAAGGCTGCTGTTGAGGCGATGGTATCGTCTGTTTGTAATGCAGTCTAGTGCACAGCCAAGATGGAGCGGTGCTTCTATTGGCTGAACCACAGTGCAGCTGACAGTTTCCTCTACATTAATTTACATTAAGTCTTGCCACCCTTAAGAGTAAATCATTCATAAACTTGAGTAGAGCTATCTGAGATATCAACTGTCACCCCTTTTTCTTGCCTTATTTTTGTCCTTTAGCTGAATTCCTGCGTAGGAATTTGTGAGTTAGCAACAAACTGATATTTCCTTGGTGTTTAACTATAAATTTTCAGATCCTTCTGTGAGTATTTCAGTGCTAGGGCTAGAAGATGATGTCGAGAGAGGTAGTAACCTAGGAAACAAACAGGTTTACCAGCTTTACATTTCCTCTAGGAAGTGTACATAAAATCTCATAAAGATATTTCCTCTCCTTTAAGTACTTGTGTTTTATATAAGTCTTGTCCTCTGGGAGTGATTATTACCATGTTGTAGTTTGATTTAAGAGAAATTGTGAGGGAAAAGAAATAAGGTTTTCAGCTTTACCAGTTGGGAGAATGTTAGTTTTGGTAGGTACACTGCCTACATTAAAAAAGCAGTCGGAAATTTAAATGGCAAAAGAATCCTCAGTTGGATGTTTAGAGACAGAATTTTTTTTCAAATGGCGTATTAAAGTTGTGGTGTAAGCATAACAATCAAAGTTTTTAATTATGAGAGTGGCTATTTTAACAATAGCAGGCTGTGTACTGCTTTCTCTGCAGACTTATTTTTAGATAAATCAGCACTTTAGTTTCTGGGGCCATTAAAATATCAATACCTGGAAGTTTTCCCTTCCTTTCTTCCTCTCTCCTTCCCTCCCATTCATTCATTCATTCGTTTAACGTTTATTGAATGTTTACTATGCCTGGCATTGAGTTAAATGCTGGAGACCCCATGGTAAACAAAATTGTTTGTGATTCATGATTGGCCATTTGCTACTTTCTTATTTGTCATCCGTTTTTCATAGTCTTCCCATTTAGTTGTTTATATGTGACAAACTTAATATTATTTTACTAAAGTTAAACAAGAAAACAGTAAATGTGCATATGTAGATTTCTGTACTCTGACAAAATAGCCAGTTTCAGATGGATTAATCTCTGTTAAAAACTAGTTAGTTAATAATTCTTTTACAAGCTATTATCACAGTTTACAACTGGATATGAGTCCATACTCTGCCAATTACTATCTGTGTTCTTATGTTTAAAAGTAGATAATATCTCTCAAATAGGATTTTGGGGAGGGATTAAATGAGAAAATCTTTTAGCATGGCTCTTGGCTATATAGTAAGTGTTTAATAAAAGTTAGTTTCTATTATTGTTGTGAAGGTCCTAAACATCTTGAAAAATGAACCATGTAGGTAGGTAGTATTTCATAATTGACAAAGCGTGAAAACACACCTGTAAGGTATTTTTAATATCGTTATTTTGGGAGGCTCTGGATATAAGAGCTTTAATGTGTCAAGTAACTTGTCAGATGGTAACAAAGTTATTTTTAGAGGAAAATTGCATATGAAGTCTCATTTTAGTTTCAAAAAAGCATATTTTTCACTAACCATTCTCAAAGGAGTATTATGTTGTCATCTAGAAGCTGTTCTTTTGGATCTCTGACAATTGTTACATTTGACTTGCAGTTCTTCTAATGCATTCTTTTGCTTAAATTATTATTACCAAGCTGGTGCCAGATATTGACTCACCCCTCTTTTATTTAACCTCTTTTGTTTGTCAGCCACATGGGAGGGAACTTTATAATATCTGATCTGATGCCTTACTAATAGAAGTACTTTTGAAATGTTTTCTTAATATTTATGATGAAATTTTTTAACCTGTTTTTACCTGTGATTAATGGAATGCATTTATGATGCAACAGTAGCATTAGGGTTTCTGCCTGTTAGCATGCAACAAAATGATAGCCGTTCTGAAACGAATTATCTTCTATACAGATTACTCCTTGTTTTATGCTATCATTCTTTATAAGCATCCATGTTTATGCAATGGCAATGCCTATAGTTTTTAGTTCTAATTAAATGCTGAAGTTTACTTTAAAAGTTATGGTATTCTCTTTATTAATTTCTTTAATTAATGCCCATTTAAGTTGATAAGCAGAAGTTGATGTAGTAAGTGATAAATTGAACTTTTTAATCCCTCAGAGTAATCCATTCACTTCTTACGGTTTTAAGTTTGTTAGAAAAGCACTGTGGATCATATTGAGATTTGTATTGTCTTCTTATTTAAAAAGGCTTGCTTCTAATTATGGGAGAAATCTAATCAGAATTAAAAATGTATTTTAATGCCTTCGTATTATTTATACTTTGTTCCCGTTCTAGCGACACACTGGATAGTTTATTACACACTCAAAGATTTTGAATTCTTTACCAAAATTTTATAGGATAGAATTCATTAGATAGAAAAGCTCAAACAAGAAAAATCTTTATCAGGGTTAAAATCATCTTAGCTGTTTAAAAGTCATAACTATATCTAATATGAAAATGTCGTAATTGTTTTTTGAACTTCATTTTCAGATCATAGCAATGGATCATTTAACTTGAAAGCTCTATCAGGAAGCTCTGGATATAAGTTTGGTGTTCTTGCTAAAATTGTGAATTATATGAAGGTAAGTACTTTTCTCAGATAAAAAGCCTCTAACTTTTTGGCAGAAGAATTTGGGATTTGGGGAAGTAAATTTTATAAAATTATATATATTTCAATATGTAGTTTATTGTATGCCTGTTATACCTCAAAAAAACTATAAAAATATTTAATGTTTTAAGCTTTTTGTATCAAATTAGCATTGCATTGAGTCACCTAGGTGTCTTTAATTTCCATTAATTCAAGGACACGATTTAAGCCCATCATATACCATAATAAAATTGCGCTCAGGCAGTGGATAAAGTCACTCTTAGTCAATACCTGCTTGCAAAAGATACCTGCTTGTAAAAACTATAGGAAGAGGTAAATGATTTACAGGCTGTTATATTGATGTGAGAAGTGAAAACTATACAGTTTAGGCATTTCAGGCACATGGTGATGGCTTTTCTACATCTTGGAGAAGAAATACAGAGAATTACTGAGAGTCTTAGAAAAACATTGACTCACAAAAGCATTGGAATTTAATGTTTGATGGAAGATTTAGTAAATTTTTTTTTTTTTTGCAGTTTTGATGATATGACATTTTGGCTTTACTAAAATCTTTGAATCCTTAATTTATCAATGTAAACTTTCATTTATAGCTAAGATGGCCAATTGATTTCATATTTGCCTCCTTCTGGTAAACTCTTATTCCCATTTAGTTAATTCCCACACATGGTAAACAGTTGTTAAAACTGACTCTATGCTATTTGTAATGGTAATGGTAGGAATACCCAGAAAGAAAAATATATGCCCTCATGGTTTTCAGACTGTTGAGGGAGACTGACATTTAAATGTCTTGTTTTTGCTACTTTGCTAATAATTTTTACTTATCTGGATGACCTTTATTTATAACTTTGTATATCTAGGATAGTTTTCTTCAAAATTTTATTGGTGTTCCCTGAAGGAAGTTTGAAAAACTGTATCCTTTTGCAGACATTTAAATTGACAGCTACAATTTTTCAACAAAAGTTTATACTGACAAAAGATAGAATTTCTGGCATATTGTAATATTTCAATAAATTATATCACTGTTAAATTTATTGAAGGGACTCTAGCATTATTAATTTAAAAATATAAAAACAAATTTCAGTGGTTAGAAATTTTATTTTCCTTTTGAACTTGTTTGTTCTGTTACTCTTGTATTGTAGGATAATGCTATGTATTTTTTAAATGCATTATTATGCTTGAAAATCTTTTGTTAATCATCTATCAGACTTCTTTGCCACAACAATATGTATGTAAATTTAAAATAACGTTTTGCCTGTGACTGTAGGCTCTAAGTATTAAAAATATTTTCTGATAATTATCAGACAATTGATTAGAATAACTTACATATGTGAAAATTGATTAAAATTCACTTTCTATATAATAACTAAATAGAAATCCATTTTTAAATGAAATTGATGGAGCTGTCTTCTTCCAGTAGTTTTTGTATCTGGAGATATATGTTAATTATTGATAGAATGAAACAGGATTTGGCACCAGTTTCTGGTCTTACTTTTAGACTTTGTAGGTTTAAGTGCTGAGAAATAAATGGTCATATAAGTAGTTCATTCTAATGGAAATTTAGTGATAGCAGAACCTTCCAAGTTATTTGCCAAAAATCACTTAGTAATTTATCATCAAGCATCCATCAGTTGACAATTCTATTAGGTCCTCCTTCAGTTTTGTTGAAAGCAAAAGAATGTGAACCACCTAACTTACCAAAGAATTTGTGCCTGGTCCTTAACTATTTACTTTGTTAGTTTCTAGGGAGTATATCAAAAAAGCTTTATCAGAATTTGGCAAATGTCTGTTATATTCATTCCCCCTCTTCCCTTGTAGGCACTTTCTTTAATCTGATATATTCAGAAGTGGTTGAGAAAATATTAATTTCAGTACACTCTTGTTCATGTAATTTTTTTCATAAAATGCTTTTATGTGTATAAATATACTTTTGTCAAAACTTTGGGTTGAAGGTTTAGCTTATTCAGTTTATGTAAAGTATCAGTTAACAAAGCTAGTCTCCATTGTCAGCTAGTCTCCAACTATATCAAACTTGTTTTTTTATCATGGAATGTCTTTTAAGTTCAAATAAATAGATGTATGTGTCTTCCAATGCTTGTATATTCTGCTCTTCGATTCAGATTTTGAGTATAAATAGAAGGGAATGATTCAGAAATAACTTCATTAATAAATAACTTTATTTTGGGGTAATTAATGAAGGAGAAGGATACCTGTTAAAAGTGAATTGGTCTTAAAGCTAGCTATGATTGTTTTTTAAATAGAAAGTAGAAATATTAAACTGTTTAAAAGCTGTAATGAAAATTGACTAAATGAGAATAAAAATTTCATATGATTTGACAAAATAGATTTTAACTACCACATTAAATAATTCACACTTAATCTAAAATAGTTCATATACAGTTTTTGCGAGTTTTTTGGAACATAATTTGAACAGTTTGGTAGTTCTGGAAAATATTTGTTATGTTTAAAAAAATCAGCCTCCTTAATTGATTTGCTTCAGTTCTTTAAATGTGCTTTTTCTTCAGGCTAATAAATATTCAAGGAATGAGTTTTGAGAATTGCAGAAGAGAATTACTTATACTTAAAACTTGAAAAAAATCTAGTTTTATCTTTAGATATTTCTTACCAATGTCTCCTTTACTTTGCTCTTATTATACACTCCCCAAAGAGCGATGCATTCGTAGATAGCATGGAGTCGTGGAGTGTGTGGGAATGGAAGAGACAAAGTTCTTTAAAGGAAACTGCTCTCAATTGTCTATGAATTATAATGTATCAAGAATTTAGAATGCCATAGCAGGGGCCAAAATATCCTATTAACTCTTAGATGTATGTAAGACTGGAAAAGACAAGAAGCCCTATAGTAGATAGTCTGTGACACCTCAGTTATCATTTATGAAGGCTTCCCCCAAATAATGTTTTTTGACATCCTTTTCTTGGGTCCATACAGTTTATTACACCTCCAGGCAATGCATTATCAATTCTGGGTGGAAGTGAGAGATTTACCCCTCTTTTTTTGTTGAAAAAAGGGGAGGGCATATTTTGAAATAGAATATATATGGAAAGTGATCTGTAAACTGATTCTTGGAAAGTCTTCAACTGTCCCTTGTGTACTCTTTTTGAAGATCTGATAAAACGAAGAACTTAGCAAAAAAAAAAAGACAATAGTAAAAAGCTCATAGTTTCTTCATTTGCTTATAGAGAAACTCTTTGTCAATGAAAATTATTTAGGAATTATATGGAAAAAGTTCAAGGAGCGCCATAGGGTACTGTTTGAGATACATACAGTGAGATTACAGGAAGAAGTACCAAACAGAAAAAATTAAAAGCAGATACAAGAACTTCAAAATCATAATACTCAGAACATTTGGCACAGAAACAAACTGCCCTACACATCTCACTAGCTCCCAAGATGGTTAGTACTATATCACAGCCTAGTAGTTTATAGCAGTAACTGAGACAGCAGAAAGATTAAATTATATTCAGTCAACCTGTTGGACAACATAGAAAAATTTTATGGTCCATTTTAGAAAGATTTTTATTGAAACAATTAATGTAAAACAAATTTAATTGCTTAAAAGAGTAAGTCTAAAAAAAAAAACCACTCTAAGTTATCTTAAATTCCCTTATGAAGGACACCTCTTTCTTCATATGAGACACTGTTTTAGTTCTTTGATGACAAATCATGGTGCGCATTGTTTTTGATGGAATGATTTTTCTGTTGATCTCATCATTACCTCTGTGTGACTGTATCTCAGTTATATAAAACAAGTTGAAAAATTTGGTTAGTTTGGTTTATTCTTGCTCAGTGGTTCTCAAAACGTCATTTTCCAACCAGATATCAGCATCTCCTGAGACCTTGTAAAGTGCAAATTCTTGGGCCCCTTCCTAGATCTGTTGAATCTGAAACTCTGGGAGTGCAGCTCAACAGTCCATGTTTTAAAGAGCCCTTCAGGTGACTGATGCATGCTAAAATTTGAGAACCACTGACTTAACTCTTGTCAATTCTGAGAATTATGTTTGAGTTTAGAAACTTCAAAGTCCAGAGAAATTAAATGACTGGCTCATAGGCACAGAGCTGGTTGATAGTAGGGCTGGGTTAAGAACCTACATTTATTTACAATTTTAAAGTATTTAAATTCTATATCAATGTCTCATAAATACAGGTATAAAAATACCTTGCAAAACATTGTTATACCTTCTGCTCACATGTTACCTAATCAGTAAGTTGTGCATATAATAAGTCAGTAATAATTGTCAGAAAAGTAGTTTTGAACAGAGAATAATATTTTTGTCTTTATGTATTTTGCCCCATTTATTATTAGCCTACTCTTTTTGTGTGTATATGTGTGTGGTTCTTCCTTCCCAGAAAGGACAATCAGCTTTAATGCAAGTCAGTGACGTAGGTAGATGTCATTTTTTTCCTTTGATTTTTTTTTTAAAAACCATTTCCAATTAAGCAACTTGTTTGTAAATGAGCAGAAGAGTCAGGGAAAGGAGTACTTTCCTGTAGAAAGGAAAGGAAAGTACTGTTCAGTTTTGTTTTTTAGTTCTTCCTGGGGGCTTTAAGTAATTCTTGAGATTTGCTAATATTTTTCCTCAAGCCCGAACAGCATTGCAAGATTACTTTTTGCCACGTGATTTTTCCAAAGATTCTGTTTTCCTTTGAAATCCAGAAGTCTTGTCACTTAAAGTCACAGCATTTTTTCCTAGAGCCTTGTAGAAACTAGTTCAGCCAGTTCACATGTTTTTAAAAAATGTCTGCTAAGAAAGCTAGCTTTGCAGCCATTCTTCATCTTCAAAACAGTCAAGTATGGTGGGTCTGCTGTTTTCTTGAAAGCACTTCTGTAATTCACCTTTCAGCTTAAATGTTCTCTTGAACTCCTCCTCTGCCAAGCCACTAGATTTCTGTATGTAGCAGATTTATGTGCTCAAGTGCCCTGGTCTTTATTCAATAAAGTAGATCATTTTTGTAGCATC